AAAAAGTTTGCTACTAGTCTACGCCCTTTTGTGGCCAGTGGCGTACTTCTGCATGGTCAAGGGGGCATATGTTTTTTTAATTGATTTAAATTTATTACATAATACTGAATTTTTTTGGAAATAGCAGCATAAAAGCTTATCATATTAATTTATTGTATAAAAAATTATTAAAAGTTATTAAAGTATCTACCAACAAAAATTATTAACAGTGGCGTGCGTCTGTATTCAATTCAGCTACTAAAGAAAAAACATGTAAATAAAAAAACCAAACTATTTGATATTACAACATTTTTAGTTTTTATTTTTTATTTTTATATTTTTAATGATTTTTGACACATTAAGTTGCTTGGACATAGGTAACTAACAAAAGGATAACGTTAAAGTTAACTACAAAACAACTTCAATTTGATTTTTTTTAAATTACATTTTTTTATGTAATATAATAATTCTTTCCGTTTCTATATCCAAAAAGGTGTGCACTTTAAGAATATGCAATAAAAAAAATTTGCCCTCTTTGACTCTGCAGACGTACGCCATTGACCCAAATTTTAAAGTATGTCGATTGGTGGCAAACTTTCTATAATTTTGGATACCATAAAAAACTTCCTCGAAAAATGTAATATTGTAGATATATTCAGTGTCCCACTGTATTCATACATACAGAGAGATTATTTTAAAAGAATGCACACATACATTTGACCTATGTAGCTTTTTAATCCACAATTTTGTTATTTTAAATTAATTTTTAGCCAATAGTTTCTTAATGGAATTTGTTTGAGTCAATGGCTACCAGATATGTTGTAAGCGGTTCATTTTCTAGGAAAAGTTACTGACGACAGTCTGACGATAACACAATTTTAATGTCTTTTACGTCACCAAAACATCCGACTCAGCGATATCACGTGAGAAACGCGAACTCAGCGTTCTTGAAATCTGATGGGTTTTTGGTGATGGCCGATGTAACCTATTAGCACCATTTTAGAGCGTGAAAGAAGAAAGAGAAAATTAAAAACGAGTAGGGGCGCGTCCAGGGGAAATTTTTGGAGAAGGCATTACATAAGTAGCCGTCAATCAGTACGGTAGTAATTTGTATGGGGGTGAAGTAGTACCTTTAAAAAGAAATTCAACGCTAAGTGCGAAGCTGGAACGCGAAATTTGTGTTGGCCAACCAGGAAAAAAACCACTGGGGCAGCTCATGCGTGGAACCCGTAACAATTTTGATTCAAAGGAGAACTTTTTGGTTTGTAACGAGAATTGGAAATTATAAACAACATACGAAAAATCGCATACGATTTTCAGTAGGAGAATTTTTTGTCACTCCACTCGCATTTGGAAACCAGATTTTTAATCCAGCTCATGTTCCTTGGACATCGCTGTCTCTTTTCGTTCTCGAGTTAGACGAGGAACAGACGGTCAGACGGACAAAACCATCATATAAGGGGAATTTTTCGAAAAAGTTCAAATTAAGGTTAGTCCGTGCGATTTTGCACAATATTGTGCAATACGAAAAAACAAGAAAAAGAAAAAAAGCGACGGTACCGTTAATCATCCACTGCAAACAACTCGATCATTTGCATTATGCAACATCGACCATTCCTTTGAATTTTGTCCGCTACGAGCCAGGACTTAACGTCAGCAAGTTTTTGTTCTATTCCCCGATTCTTAAATAGATGATCTAGTTTTCCAAGGTTAACTGATTCAAGGGGTAGCTTTAGACGCCGTATAAAGTGTCATTTTCTCTTTGTATTCACTACGGACCGCGCCTTTCAAGAAATTGGACGAGTGGAATTTTTAAACCGTAAATAGAAACATTTTGGAATGACTCGATCCAATCACTTTGTAACCGTGTGAAATGTTCAAACGGAATTTTCCACTGTATGAACTCGGTTAGTAGAAGGCAAAAAAGTTTTCTATTTACGTTTAATATTAAAATGCGGTGGTTTTCTAACTGAGTTAAATATACAAATTTTAAGTTTTCAATTTGTACCTATGTAATAAAGCAGGTATTTACTATATATCCATTGTTCATTCATTGGAGGGGATTGTTTAACATAGTAGAGCGTGTCTACGTACAGTCCCGTAGTAAAATTTTGGATACTGGATGTTTCAATGAACACGATTGATTTTTTGGAGAGCTGTGGGGGAAGACCGAAATAGATTTATTCATATAAATTAAATGTCAGTATTTTTTGATTTTGTATATTGATTTGCTATCAAACTGGACGCGGAAAAGATCATTTTTTAAATTTTCGGGTTGGAAACAAATATGTAAATCTATTTTACTTAGGAAAGTATTTTAGTACAGTTAAACTACCCGTGGATATATTTTGGAGCAAAATCTAACATTAGCGCAAGAAGTAAAATCTCGTCAAGAATTTCCCCACCCTGAAATGTCACCCTCGATCAATTACTGTTTATGTTCTATCCCTATCAAACATTTTATTATTTTATCTTGCCAAGACCAGAAGAAGGATCTCTTAGTTTGCCTTGTGTCCCATTTTTGATAAGTATTCTCTCCCCTCTTTTGAAATCTACGGCGCCGATCCGGTTTACTAGTACTAGTACACGTGATTACAGAGAGACTTTTGCATCCGGAAAAAATGACTGTGTGGTATGCATTGTGGTCTGGAGCATTGGTCCATATCTTTTTGACCACTTATTATCTCTTTTATGATCTGGAGACACAGATTTCCAGGATGAGTAATTTCGAGGTTGGGTGATGTAAATTGGCATCCGGGGTAGTGATTTTGAAACCATTTGGTTTTAGTAAAACAGCCGGGATCACATCACTTCTTGCGAGGAGGTGATCGGAACTGAGGGTTTCTTCCAAGATCCGCCCGTATCCAAGACCACATGGATCCTTCCACTCGTCCCAATCGTTTAGCCGTATGGAAGCCTTCCGGGCCTCTGCCTCCACAGCTTTCTAAGCTCTAGTCTCAGAAGTGCCTCCATGGTCAAAGTTAGCGTGATGTTCATGGGTCCAGTGACTCCCAAACAGACGAGTCTTTGTACCTTACCCAGCTGCTTCCAGCAGGTTGTCCTTGGTTGGGTGGTCTTATCACTATAGTATCAAACCAGTCGAAGACTCAAGCCCCACGTACAGCCCAAATCCCATTTTACATGACCATAGACATACGGTGGTCATGACGTCCTCGAGGTCCGCATTCCTTTTATTTGTAAATGGAACAACAACCTCGGTCTTCTCCGGGTTAACGTAGAGGCCGTGACTACTGAATAACTTATCCACCTGTTCAAAAGCCCTCTGTATGAGCTTGTTCACGGTGTTTGAGAACTTTCCAGTTAGATCGTTCACGTATGCCTGTGTAAACATTCCGTCCTCGTTCAAAGTACGGAGGAGCCCGTCTAGCACCAGGCACCACAGCAGTGGAGGCAACATTTCACATTACGCTACGGACATCCTTTAGCGACCAATGAGGTCGTCTTCGGCGTCGCGATTGACGTTATAATTACCCTGCTTTCGAGCATGTCTCGGATGCATCTTACGATTGACCCGTCAATGCGAAAGCTTTCAGCAGCTTCACTAATGGAATCGAACGTGGTGTTGTTAAACGCGCCATCGATATCTAGACGCTTCCAGGGCTGCCACCGATCTCCCCAGCCTGCACACGAGGCTGTGAAGAGCCGTCTCCGTGGATGTATCAGCTCTGCAAGCATGCTAGAATGGGTCTACGGTTTTTAGAAAAAACGATGATGGATGATGGGCCTGTAATCCTTTGCCAGGTATTATTTGGCACGAATCGGCTTAAGTAGGTAGTAGGTACACAAGTTTTATCTTTCTCCAGCTTTCGGGGATACTAAAGCCAGGGAGGCTCTAAAGAGGTGCAAGAAATATAAGAGCAGCGGTTTCAGGCCTTTTTGTAGAAGAGCCGGGAATATCCAGTTCGCTTCTGCACCCTTAAATAACCACCCGGGCAGCTACTTTCCAGTCGCTCGGATTTGCACCGACCCAGGTACTCTTTTTGGTGGGTCCGGTAGGCCCAAAATTTGGAAGGGGTCTTCTAGGAGACATGTGCCCCCCCCCCCCCTCTATAGACTATATCTGCCGCATGGAAGCTTTAGTGCCCCGGGTCTTTCGAAACGCTATTACGAAGTTTTTGAACCTCTTTCGAGTCGTACATGAGATAGACTGAGCAGACCACCCAGTGCCTGCTCCGTCCACTGTCATCTTTCAGCTGAAATCTTGGAGACTCGATTCGTCTTTGCATATAAATGCAAGTCCTAGGGTCAGTTGGCGATCTCTATTATAATAAAGAGGCTTCTCCTCCTGACCCAGACGTCTTAAGCGTTCCCTGTAAACCCAAACTTCTTGTATTAGGCATACCTAGATGTTAGAGGAAGTGTTGAAGTTCAGGGCGGAAAGATACTTAGGTATGTTCCCTTTTACTGACTACATCCAAATACCTGCTGTCAGTGAGGAAGAATTAATAGAAACGTTGGAAAAACTGAAAAGGACTCCTGGTCGACTATACTTAAGACTGTGGAGGAGTTTATTTATCTTGGCATTAAGATAACATCGGATGGAAAGAGCATAAGAGATCTGACGAGCGGAATAAATCAAAACAAGAAATGCAAGTTATTCACATCGAATAATGTTGATATGTAAATAGAGAGCTCAGTTAAAAAAAATGGTGGAGCGTGTTTCACTATGGGGGCGAGACTTGAATCCTTAGAATATCTGCGGAAAGGATATGAAAGATTCTATGGATTGATTAACAAATGAAGAAGTATTGAGAAGAATCAGGATGACACCTAACCTGCTGAAAGCGATAAGGAGGCAATATAGCTGGATAGGGGGCACGACAGTTTGTTCGGCACCATCTTGGCAGGGACTGTGAGAGAACCAAATTATAAGGCAGACCTAGATAGGATTGTGCAACCCAGCTGGTGCAGATGCTGGGCTGTCAGAACTACCAAGAGGTTAAGAGACTGGCGCACTACCGAGAGACTCGGGAAACCAACTTGATAACCAAAGAAGAAAGTGCGACTATAATGTTATTTTATTTAAGAATTGACTAAACATGGTGATAACACACTTATATAAATATTGAAAGAACCTTCACTGAAGTAAATATACGTTAAGATAAAAACAAAGTTATAAATGCAATACTGGTGTCCATTCTGGAACTAATTCTTCGCGTCTACTTGATGTAACGACCAACGTGAAGTCCCTTGATCACGAATCTCATCTTGCGAATTACTCCCGCTACATCATTATGGCTAATTTCCCAGTGGAACACTAAACGAATACTGGATGGTGAAAAGGAGAGAGCCTTCACGCTGACTTCTTCTGTCTTTGTGATCTTGGCCAGCTGTTCCAAGAAAGCCTTTGAAGAAATCTTCGCAGTATCCAAGTGTATGTTGACGATGTTGGTTTCTACAGCGGAGAGGTCTACGCGGACGATATCCGAGTCCAAATCGCTAATGGCTGGAAAGAACATGAACTTTAGGTTCGAATTTAAGCGAGCTTAAATTACCTTTAGCGACCTTATAAGCGTGGTCGTGATCGATGTGAAGGCGATCGATCATTTCGTCTAAGGCAACCAAGCCGGCCGCTGCCAAAATACCAACTTGTCTCATTCCGCCACCCAACAGTTTTCGGAAACGCCTGGCTCTGCAAAAATAGCGCATTTGAGCGGCAAGCAAATTTAACAATAAAAAACGCTTACTGTTTGATGAAGCTTTTGCTGCCGCACAGGACCGAACCAACTGGACATGACAAACCTTTACTCAAGCAGAAGCAGACAGAATCCATGTCGCGTGCGATACGTTTCGCAGACACTTTGCTCTTCACCACCGCGTTCATTATACGCGCACCGTCCATGTGGAGTGGTAGATTGTAGTTCGCAGCAATTTTGGCAAGCTTGTCAAGCCATTCCAATGGAAGAACCTGGTAACAAAAAGTGTCAACTTACATTCCGCTTGGTAGTAATAAGAAATTACCCTTCCTCCGCACAGATTGTGCGTATTTTCTACGACAATTAGAGCAGTCGATGTTTCATGGCTATCATTACTGGTTCTAATTTTCGATTCCATTTCTTCCAAGGAAAACGTCCCATCCGGATTGTTGGTAACTATGGAGGATTGAACTCCAGCTAACACTGCGGGACCACCTTAAAACACATAAATTGCGATAAATGAACATCAGCGGCTAATAAATAATTACCTTGCTCAAATAAGTGAAGATGGCTCTTATCTCCAGCTATAAATTCGACACTTCGCTTATTACAGTGCACCATAACTGCAAAAATGAAAAATCAACGCAATTCGTCACAGCGAAAATTACCAACTTACCAGCAATTATGTTGCACATGGTTCCACTGGATAGAAAAATGCCGTCTTCCTTCCCCATAAGTTCAGCAGATCTTCTTTCCAGCTCATTGACCGTAGGATCTTCGCCGAAAACGTCATCTCCAACTTCTGCGACGGCCATGGCTTTCCGCATTTCCACCGTAGGTTTAGTAATGGTGTCACTTCGAAGATCCACAACGTGGGCAATCGTGCCCTCTACGTGGCCGCACTCGCTGTATTCTTCAAAATTGTAAGGCATCGTGTTGCGAAAAAGTCGATCAACTGAATGGCTCTCAATTCGCGGATTAGATTTTATACATAAGGACGCGGAAGTTATCTAACATCAGGGAATATGAAAGCTAGACCTCAAAGATTATGGTGAATTTCCCACATAGCTCGGACGGGTAGCGTACGTGCCATAGATAAGGTGAATTGAGAGCACAGGTTTCTCCACAATCCGTGGTGTTTTGCTACCACCACGTTTGGGACTTACACTACCTGCCTTATCTAATCTATAACCACATCGTTTTAAATTATCCGCTAATGTACTCGTATTACATTTACATTACATAAGAAATGAAAAAACCACATCAATGTCATCAGATCACACGGGCAGAATTTCCTAATGGTCAGATTTACCAAGCACACAACAATAATTAACGTCCCCTACGTGCCACCTCCAGTGCCGCATATATCAATGGTTCAGAGTGGGAGCTTTTGTCCTACAAGACATTTCACTCCACTTACTGTGATTGGTCCAAGAATTGTGCAGTTTCTTCCGAGATATGGAATTTTTGATGTTAAAAACGAAAGGTCCCATCGAGTCAAAATTTACATTTAAAATGTGCCTGTTTTAACTTCACGATTTGTGGGTTTAAATTAAGAATGATACACCATTTTCACTTAGGGGTTGAGAAGGGTGCTAAGAACGAAAGTTTTTGATCGCAGCCTAAATTTGCAACTCAGTTGTTCTCGTTTTATGGGGATTTGTCCGCCATATACCGGGTGGAGCATCTAAGGTCCCTCAGATCATAATCCCTTTGCTATAAAAGATATCGAAAAAAATGTTTCTAAAATATTTCTGGTCACCAGTGGCGTGCTGTTGGTGTCACACTTATGTTTTTTTCAACACTCCATATTTTATTGAAGAATTGGAAAGTGCTTGGAGAGAACTTACTTTTTTATGTAACATGTTATACCGTTAACTTTAACGATTTCCCTGTTAGAGTCCTTCATTTTCAAAATTGGGTCGTTTTTCGAATTTTCTTCAGAGAAAACTAAATCACATAATTTTTTTAGGGCCTTTTTCGAAAAAAAGAAGTTTTTTGGTTGATCTACGCTATCTCTAAATCGCGATCTCTAAATGCCCCCTAAAAAATTTTAACTCTGGATGACCGAAACTATAAAATATTGCGAAATGAGATAGATCCTGCCAAGAATCTAATCACCAATAAGTTTTGCAACGTATAACCTAATCATGTATTAAGAAATTTTGGATTAAAAAATTAAAAAATTGTCACTTTTCCGAAGCGTAAGTATATCTCGAAAACAGGGCAGCTCTAAACATTTTTCGTCGTTTTCAAAAAATTCAATAAAACAGACGTTTTTTGAATTTTTTTGTTTTCCTTCCCACCTTTGTCCCGGGCTTTTCAGGACTTGCGGTATATCAACTTTGTTGCTAACTTTCATCTCACGTTCCATTTTCTAGAATATAAAACCTGTAGAGTTTGCCGAAACCTCCTTGACAACAAGAAAACAATAAATATTTCCCGTATCTCAGTAGACGTGACGAATATCTCCTAGTTCAACCATAAACTTCTGCATTTTATACACGTGTCGATATTTGCGCCATAGGAAACATAGGAAAGAAAGAGAAAATCATGTGCCATTTTTGGGAGCACGTTCGGAGACGAACGTTTGGAGACGGGTGTAAGCGAATGAAATACGAACAGACTATTGGATTGGAATTGGTTGCGACATTTTCTTTGGTTCCGTTTCGTCTATTTACTTGGGCACCTATACCAGGTGGTGCACGGTAACTAGGAACATAGGGATTTAACATGGGAAATTAGTTTCATGCAATATCCTGCCCTCCTGTACATTTTACAGAAAAAAACTGTAAAGTTTAAAGTTGTTGTGCATACAAAACTGTTTTTACAGTTTTTGGTATACCCGCAAATTTAAATATAAATTTTAACAATAGCAATAGCCATGACTTTTGTTGTTTTATGAATTGCTACTAATAACAGAAATGTTGAAATTTATTTTTAAATTTGCGGATATATCGGATATACTGAATAAAACATGTAAAAACAGTTTTGTATGCACCTTTTAATTCTGAACAACTTTAAACTCTACGTTTTTTCTGTAAAAAGTACAGGAGGGCAGGATATTGCATAAAACTAATTTCCCATGTTAAATCCCTATGTTCCTACTTACCGTGCACCACCCGGTATATAGAAAATTAGAGAGAGAAAAGAGAAAGTTTCAGTTTAACCTCGATCGCAATAGCGTGCGAGCTCTCCATCCAGTTTAGGATAGCCCAAGCTCAATCGCGCCGTTTTAGTAGAGATCGCCACCATCAACGCGTACGGGAGGATATAAAATTGGCCGTGCAAAATTTCTGTGAATCACGGTACAGTTATAAAGTATCTGTGGGTCTGAATTGTAGTAGGGCCCCGGTGTGTATAAAATTGTACGAATGGTCGTAAATAAACTACGTATCACAGTTTTAGTGTTAACGAAATTCCCATATGGACCATTCGATTTAGTATAGCGCGTACACATACTCTAAGCGTTATCAGTACAATTAATATTAACCTCGCCGTTACAAGTAAATAACTATTTTAAATTTCGAAAATAGTACAGTCTAATAAGCAATCCGTCCAAGGCCTTTCAGATGATTTCAAAAGTTTTCAACGGACTCCAAGACCCTTCTACAATCCTTTACAGAAGTTTTTATTTTTGCGTTTAAAAGATTCAAGTCCTCTGAAGTATTTTACAGTCTTCTTGTTCATTTGAGATCCTCTAATTCAAGGTCTTCCAAAAATGTCCAAAATCCCCCCAAAGGCCCGCTAAAGAGTTTAGTCCAAGTATATGCTTGCAGGAGCTTTCAAAAGCCTCCAACAAGGAACAGAGAAGAGTATTATCTCCACAGCAGTCAAGTGACATGCAGATACTCTAATAGGGCTTTAAGGACTTTTTAGAGTCGTTAAGAGTCTTCTATTATATTCGCAAACGATCCCTTTCGAGCTTCATGGACCTCTAAATGCATTTAAAGGTCCTCAAAATATATAATGGTTTTATAAGAGCCGTAACAGTTTCCAGATTTCAGTTTTCAGATTCCAAAGGGTCCGTAAGAGTCTTCCTAAGGCCTTAAGAGAGTAGTTTTTAAAAACCTCTCTGAAAGATTTTGAAACTTTCCATGGGTCTCCAATCTCAAGAGTCTCCAAGAACTCCAAGGGTCCCCTGTGGCTTTTATAGTCTATAAGAACCTGTGACAACCCTTAATACGCTTTCAGACTGTTTAAAGTGCGTAAATTGAAGAGCCCTTAAAAGCTCTTATTGGTCTTTGAGACTCGTCGAACAGTCTTTAAGGGCGAGCGGAGTTGAAAAATACCTTTGAGAGCCTTTTAACAGCCCTCAGATGTTTTCAAGATATTCTTATTGCATTTAATAGACATCCCGATTTTTCTTTAAGAAATTAGGTTAAAAATAGCATGGACGCATTCTCAAAACCAATTTTCTTTCTGGAATTTTGACAGCTTTGTAATAAAAGAGAATGTAACATACATTACAGGGCGTTCGATTAATACGACAGACCTTTAGGCATTCGATAGTCTATGGAAAATAACCTTCGACCGTTATGTGCAGCCGTTGGAACGGGATTTCCTTAGGGGACAATTATTACAGGAAGCCAGGGTAACGACCACTGATTCCCGACCTTTTACAGGTGCTTGCGTTCTGGTATTAAGCGTTTGCTATTGTTGAACGCATTTTTTAAGAATAAAAAAAATGGGCTATTGTTTTCATTTGGTCCGTCCGTCCGCGCGTGGGTCCCACCGTCCGTCCGTCCGGACCCACTTCCGCCGCGCTGAACTACTTTTAGGAGAACGGTCCCAGAGCCCTGGAATTTTTGCAATAGGTAGCTTATACCTTGAGGGTGTGCCAGACTGGCATCAAATTTCTCTGTCTTAAGGGGGGGGGGGGTCCCCTATGAATTATTTCAAGAGATGGGGGTTTTGAAAGTAAGACAACGTGCATAACTTTTGTATGCGACAACCAAAAATTTTCGAGATCAATTGTATCGCTTATTTATTTATTTATTTATTTATTGTGACCCGCATAATGATTTTTTAGAGGTGCATCTGCAGAAGGTCTTAAGCTGTTAAGTTATTCCGGTATTTACGTTAGGTACGATTTAGGAAAACTGCAGGAAAACCTAATTCGGAGTAGCCAGCAGAATGCTCAAAACTAATCTAAGGAAATTCCCATCTCTGTCACAGATAAAAAATTCTTACCCCAGCCCGGGTTCGAACACCCGACCTCCGGCTTTATAGCTCAACGGCCCACCATTGAACTACAAAGTCCGTAAATTTATCGTGAAAAGATATAATTTCCTTATTCTTCAAGAACAGATTATCGGCGATTACTCCCACAGGACGAAATATATCCATTATTGAGCGAATATCTCGAAAACGGTTTGTCGGAAGAAAGTACTCTCCAAGACAAAATGAATCGTCTGGACGAGGCACATCCATTAGTGAAGTCGAAGCCAATATCTTGAAAACGAAGTGTCGAAAGAGAGAGAACAAGTGGAACGTTAGGACGAGGCATATCTAATGGTGATGTCAAAACTTTTAGTGTAAATATCTCCCTGTATTTGTGGCCACGTATCAGTTCCAAGCCTTCGCTTATCTAGATCTTTTTATGCATAATACCGCATCTTTTGCCACGCTCTATAGCGAAACAAAATTTGAATTAATGCAAAGAAATATTGTTCCTTATATGAAATATACGAAAAAATAACCAAATGCTTTTTGTATGGATCCAATAATAATAATTAAAGCAATACAAATCTGGTGCCTGTAATGAATCTCCACAGATCGGATCCTTTAGACATATTCATACGTCAAATATGCATCCGATGCAAAATTTTAAACAAAGACCGACCGATACTTTAAGCTAGTTAAAATAACTCACAAATATTGTTGAAATCGGTGTTTTCTTTAAGCTACAATCTACAAAATATGATATGGCCCTTCCTTGTAAAAGGCTCCCTCCATGAAAAATTGAGAACTGGATCGCTTTGGGTTAATACAGTTGAATTCTAGTGTGATTAGCTTTCGTACAATTGTGAGGATAATGAATCTTGTATTTACGTCGACCGAATTTTTCAGCTTATCGTTTAAGTTTCAAAAATGCCGCTTTAAATACGATTATTTAACTGATACCGAGTTTTGTACAACTTCTTCGAAATGAGGCAAAGTTAATATTAATTGGATTAATAGCAGTTGAGTATGCGTACGCACTGTATAGTCTTTATCGGAATTTCTTTTGCACTAAAACAATGTTACGTGATTTTATTTTGTACTATTCACATAATTTTAAACTATGGCCCACTCCAAGTCAGACCCATAAACGATAATCATCCAATATAAATTTCCGTGGACGCCACCGACACCTTGCGACCAAAATCAAACTGCCCTTACTGCGTGATTGAGATGGGGATCGAATTGAAGTTAAACTGGCACTCTCCCTTTTTTCGCCGTCGCGAATGTAATCTCGGCTTGCATGCCTGAGGGAAACAACGAAGCGACCTCGTCCGGCGTGCCCTATCAGCCAATAACAATTCTGTATTTTTGTTATCTCGACGGAACCAACGAAACAGAACTATCCCAAGTTATCACGGTTACAACCCACGCGTTCTAAATACGCTCGTTTTATCACCATACCTAAATCGCCCCCGTCGCGTAGGAAGCGGTACATTTATGTAAATTATTCTTACGAATTAGAAAGAATTTAAAGCTGCAAAGCGAGCAAATCACCAAGACAATGTGTTCCGGCGTTCTCGATGAAACAGGTGAAAAAAAGAAATTTTTCTCAAATTTCGACATTGCCACGAAAGCAATTTGGTAAAAGTAATCCTTTTTACATAAATGGGGGCTTGGAAAAGCATAGTTTCGATTAGAAAGTTTAAGAAAAAGCGATGAAGACGAAGACGATTTACTTCCATAGGCATTATGGTCGACGAGTCTGATAATCTATAATTCTCTAAATAAATACGCGCTCGCCAGATAATAATGTATACGAAAATCCTCCAACCATTTCGAAATTATACGTGATAGTATTTGTAAGGGTAACGCAAACAAATGGAAGGTGTATGATATATCGAGATTGCTTAATAAGCTCATTAGATTTAAGTCTTCCTTTTTACGATTAGGTCAGTGATTTAAGCTTTACATATTATTACACACAGCGAGCGTTCGTTTGTTTTACAATTAGCTTCCTAAACGTGCTGTTTACTTTATTTTACAGTTTCCTTATGCTCACATTCTTCGCAAAGCGAGCATTTCCAGGTATCCGACAACGACGACGTTTTATAAATGCGATCTTGTTATTATTATTATAGTTCCATTCCATCGCGTGCCGATTTTTGATAGTTTTAAACGCGAGAGTCGTCGAAGTCTTGTGCCAGTTCCGCGTGACGAAGGAAATGGGAAAACGCGGAAATCCGTATAAAGGAGAAAAAAGGGTAACGTTATCGCTCCCATAAAATCATATGATATTCATTTATCTATAATCGTATAGACACTCCCCGAACATAAAAATCTGGGTTTATTGATATAAATCGCCAAATTATTTTCTGTCGGTAATCTTTTCTTTATGGTTAGTTATTCTAGTACGCTTTCGGGGTGCCCCACAAACCTCAAAGAGTTTTGCCCAATGAAGTGTGGTTTTTAGTGCTTTCTCTAAACCCTTGAATATAAATTTTGGAAGAGCACGGCCCTGATTGTAAATATCAAATATGTATGAAGTATTATCTACATGCAGAAACCTGTTACCTACGGGACCACTTTGAAAGATGTTGCGCCGATTACGTTCAATTACGGCTTTAACAATCAAAGAAAGATCCGCGAAACGTAAAGTTATTATGACAAAATGGCGCAAATATTGAAAGTGTCAAGTATCTCGTAGAATAATCACGAACTTCTTACCTTTTAATGAAAAAATAAATAGCCCGAGAAAGAAGAGAGCTCTGTTCCGACGCCTTCACACTAAAACGTAAAACAAAAAGAAACAAGGAACTCGAGCTAAGCCACTGGGTAATTGCAATTAGATAAGTCAAAAATACTTATATTTCGATTCATGATCGACTGCCTTAATTTCGAGTTGCAATCCCTGAAGGAGAATGCCAGGGAGAATGCACACTCACATTTATAGTACCAACAAAAGCAATTCGATCATGTTAATAATACAGTGTAAAGAAATTAACATAGGTATCATCCCTTAGAGAGGAATAATCTACTAATTAAAAACTTGAATAATTTAATAACAGATAAGTTAACATAAATGCCCCCCTAACTCAATTTCGCTGTCCACTTTTAGCGCTGTTTGTTGCCGTTATCTCAGATAAGAAGTTGTCTTTGTATATAAAGCTCAAAGTGTAATTGAAAAGGTATCAAGGTTAATTAAATCTAGCACTCGTAATAAATCCAAAAACTAAAAAGAAATTATCACCATACTAGAATTGAAACACAAAACTTTAATCTACCTCCAATTAATAAGAGGGTTTTTACAAAATAATAATACTACTACGGTAACGGAAACTTAAATCGCTTCAAATTTTAAATGACTAAATCCTAAAAAGAACACATAAGATAACAAGCTTACGCATGCCTACACATTAAATTCAAATTATAGCCTCCAACATAAGAGCAAAGCGTATTTCGATCCAAACCAATTCGAGTTCACACCAAATTCGTTTAATCACCATTGAATTTTTCAAAAATGGATTCGACGATTTTAAAAGATGCCAAATTTTAAGTGAACTCTCAAAGAAAGGAAAACGAAGTGCGCATTAAAAATGATGCACCAATCGGAACTCGTTAAACTAAACCAGCTGTGATGGCAGTAGTCTTCCACCAAAAATTACAGTGATACTCAACCAATAATAGTTTATATGTACCTACTTGAGTAAATGAAGTTGTTATAGCATTCAACATTATAGTAATTAAAATCGCGATAAGCTCTCCGAGATGAAAGTTCATCGACATCGTAATTACGAATTTGTCCATTGATGTCTTTGAGCTTGTGGACAGCTAATATTGCTTTTGAAAATAATGTGGAACCGGGGAGTCTAGGGGGAGTAGAATACCCCCCAAGAGCAAAGCAAAAATTCAATGCATATTTCTCTACCATAAAGATCTTCGTTTGCTCGGAGGTATTTCATACCATACCGCCTTCTCACGATAATATTGGAAATAAGACTACTTTTTTTTCAAAATGAAATAGTCCCCAGGAAAGGAAGATTTGGCTGTCTTTTCGAGAAACTATCATGAGGGTGTTGAAAGCTGAGCGATTTGGAATAAGTATGCACTATATAGTCCAATTTTTCCGGACTGTGTGGTTGAAGGTCCCCTAATGATTGAGTAATAAAGTCCCGAGCAATTTCGGTGCCGCCGGGGGGAAGGGAGGGGGTTGAAGGGACATTTTTCGGCTATATTTCGAAAATGGTGGGTTTTCTTATCAAAATTCAAAGCTCATAAGATTTTCAACAACTTTGTTTCTATACATCGCATCGTTTTCCAGCTACGGGCTCTTGCAGGTGAGAAATTTTCAAAAAGCTCACTTTTCAGTCGAACTTTTCTTCGAGCTCACTACCTGTTCACTTTTAACGTATTAGTGGATGGTTGTAGGGAATTAAATTTCCTTCAAGAATCAATGACATGTGTGTGTTGTAACATGCTTCGACAGTTCACCTACAACAAAAATGAAGTGAAATTTCGTGAGCGTGTCCAATTCAGATGTACGTGCAATTCCTCTCCATGAGGATCGTCTACGTCCTCTTTATCTTCTTCCAGGATTGGTGGAGAGTTAAAACAGCTCCCTTGGCAGTTGGCACAGACAATGGTACAAAATATGCCAGCCTTCTTGCACCCACTGCTAGCCCCGCAGTTCGTAGTATATAACGCGCAAGCTGCAAAATGCTAGGCGCTACAAAATACCATGTGCTTTAATAAAAAAAAAAACACACGCCGCTGACCGGCCAGCTAGCTCTGTTGACCAAATAGTAAACAGCGGAGAGAGCAAGACAAATACACAGGGTAGTGGGTGACAGAATTAATACCTTTGGTAATGGCTCATCATATATCATCGATTCCAAATAAATCTTCACTACTTACTTTTGTGGCTTCTTGTAAATTTCCTGGGCGCCACCTAATTCCAAAATAAGTTTCGCTTACACTACCGGAACTAGGAAAGGTAGCTTTAGCTTTAAAATAGGCAACTAATGACCCACAAATAAAAAGTTTTATTCGGTGCACTGCACCATGAAATAAATTCAAAATTGCACAACTTAGATTCCCCACTGGGAATTCATAATCTTATTTAAGGTAAGCAGCAACTCAAAATATGAATCCTCCCAAAGTTAACAAAAGAAGGGGTTTACATAAAATTTCCCATAAAATGTTGAATAAAATACACCAGAATCTCTGGAGTTAACACACAAATATCGTTACAGTGGCAAAATAATGAATTAAATTGAAAATAGATACCCTAATTTATAGCTTGAGTGGGCAATGAAATTATTCGGTTCTTACGAGCTCGTTCGTACCTTACATAAATTGTTATCACTCCATAACGAGAGTAATCTTTTTACTAGCTAAAATATTGTACCCCAAAAATGTCAAGCTTACCAATTAACAGTAATAATCTTGGCTCTATGCAGGCCAATTAGCAATTGATCACCACCGAGGTGGGTCAAATGCAAACACACAAATTTACAAAAAGGTTTAACAATGTTACATCACCGTACGATCAATATTTAGGTCTTCTTTTCCACAGGTCCTGGTATATGGTTGCACGTTGAATGACAAATGCTGCTCTAAGTGTTACACAAAGTGTCGGAAGCAAGGTAGCGGCTTCAAGATATGTACGACTCGGCCATTAAGTTATTTCAATGGTTTGATGCTAGATCGTACACACTGCACTCCAGTACTTAGTCGATTTACTTTCATATGCCCCCTTATCCGCAACACAATGTGGTCTATAGTTTCGTTTCACAGGTAAACAGTCGGATCGTAGTTCTTGACCCCAATACGTGAACTCTAAAATAATAAACTAATGGGTGGTACGTTTTTACACAAGAATAAATGCGAACCTCTACATGGAGAGAGTCAACGGAAAATAAAAGAGCTTCGTGAACGTACGAAAGTGAATGGAAGTTATCCTACGATCGTTGTCAGAATGGTCCCCTAAAATAGAAATAACGGTAGTGTGGATTCGAACACACAGAGAACTTACAATTATGCTTACGTTCCTTTAGAAGAACTCCTTTCGGATTAAATGGTTACCATGCCCAAAAAGAAATGGCAGGTACAATGATGGTTCACTTGTTTTTAAAGATGCTTTCGCCAAATTGTTGAAAACAAAATGAACAGGAACTAAATTAGCACTTAAATCAGGATGAACCGCACGACCGTTCTCTTCGGGTTAGCAAGTAAAACACGCTGAATTTTTCCATTTCCGGTCCCAATGAAACAACGAAGTTTTGCTCCAACCAATAACGCGGTCAATTGAAGCTTACAATACCATATATGGTTACGGTATCAAATTACATAGGTTATCTAAAGCGGAAATTGGCTTTTAGACCAATAATAGAAATATAAAACATTAAAACGGGCAGGTACGGAAATAAACGAATGTGAAGGTTACAAAAGGTGACTACCACGGAATAGAAAAGTTATAAACAGGGTGATTGAAATGGAAATACGAACAAAATGTTGATATAATAATAAAACTGTTACAAGTAGAGCAATGGCAAAAAATGACTTTTCTTCGGGGCTGGCGGAGCTGGAGAAAGGTGTCCATCTTCACCTCTTTTCCAACCCTCTTGCTCGGAAGGGAGTGATTTCTCCAGCCACTGCTGAACTTGGAGAAACACTCTAGGAGAGTGTTACCGTGCTGAAGTTTTCGTTGGAGGAAGAGAGGGAAGATTTGGTTTAAGTTTGGTGGTTGACTTAACAAATACCCTATAACGGTGATGGTCAAGGTCATTTTCATCGCTGGGGGCCTGGTACATATAGAGTAATATATGTTCCCCAGCTTGCGTCAGGTGTTGAGTTGAAGTTGTAAGAAACTAAAGCGATTAAAGTGTATTTCTTAGGGTTGTTCTTAAACAATTTGAGGATTGTTGTTTTGCTACGGTTGTAAATGGCAGAAGTAGTGTCACAACCCGTAAAGCCGTGTTAGAAGAGAATATGCCCACTAAACGGCAGTTTTAGGAGTTGATGGCTTGAAAATACTTTGGTCTCTGTTTTTCCCCTCCCAGGTTTGAGGAAGAAAATGTTTTTGTCAGACGGTGTCAGTGGGATGAGTATCATCACTAGGTCAACATCCTCTCCAACAACTAGCACTGTGGGATGGGTAGTACACTTGTCCACTCCACACCGTACGATGCTGACACCTGCGTCTCCTGGTGCAACGCTTCTCTCCATCCCACTTTCCACGAAAATGTCAAAACATGTTACACCATACATATCAATAATTCTTGAAGGAAATTTAATTCAATACAATACAACCATCTACTAATACGTTAAAAGTGAACAGGTAATGATCTCGAAGAAAAGTACTACCGAAAAAGTGAGCTTTTTGAAAATTTTTCACCTGTAAGAGCCCGTAGCTGGAAAACCATGCGTTTTTTGAATAAAATGTATACAAACGCAGTTGTAGAAAATTTGATGAGCTTTCAATTTTTACTACAACCCAAAATTTTCGAAATATAGCCGAAAAACTGCAAAACTGTACCTTCAATCCCCTGCCCCTCCCCCCGGCGCTTCCGAAATCGCTCGAGACTTTATTACACAATCATCAGGGGATCTTCAACCACACATTCACGAAAAACCTACACGATTATTTTTTCTATTGGCCGTTTTTTTGGCATACAATGACTGGACTAATGTTTTGGACGGGAGTAAAATCATCTCTTCACGCGTCACGCTCGAGTAATGCCGTACGTGCTGAAGGCGAGCTCGGCATTATTAAAGCGCATTTGGAGATTATCGTTGTAACAGTTTTAAAATAATATTAACATTTCTGTCCATATTTCAATTTCCACCTGTATATCTTCTAAATTTTCTCGTCATTGAATGCGACCAATTTCTAGTTACTTTTGCATTTCTGTGTTTGCCTCTCCGATTTAACTTGTCTTCTTGTCGTTAGAGGACATTTTTTTGTTTTTGTTTTGCTTTTTTTATGTTAAACATTAAATTACCTTATATGGTCATGCACTATCCGTAGCTTTGGCTTGGGTACAATTTCTAAAACTTTTGACGTCTTCCAGCAACCTGCAATAGAATCGGTCGTGCTAAATTCCCGAATTTGGGTGTTTGATATATTTTCGAATGGTCGAATTGATTTAATACTTAGCGGAAGCATCTTTAATCAATCGATTACCCGTTGTGCCGACAATTGTTTTTGGACGTTCGGTTACAATTTTTTTCCGAAATGGACTTTTAATACGGAAAACTCAAGCATTCCAAATCGGGAACAAATACCGACCATGTAGTAAATTTTGAGGTCATTTGGGACGTATCCAGTTCGTTTCATTTGTGTAGTCTCTGAATAAGAGAGTCTTTGCATGGGGGTTAATATTCAGCTGAATCCGGGGAAATAATCGGCCTACTGCAGATGAGTGTGCTTTCAAACATCCCGTAGAATCATTAAGATCTTAAGGGCACCCGAACATAGATCGTGAGAGAAATATACCTGGAGCATAAGCTTTGTTACCTCCGTAGGAGTTATTTTTGGTTACACAAGGAACCTGTGGAATTGCCGACACAATTTGTCATTAGCGGTGACGCACCTTCAACCTTTTTACCTAAATATCTATGAACCGTTTATTTGACCCACATATGTAAGTGGAAATTTTTACGTGTAATTAGTATGCTTGATCAAGTACGAATTATTCTAGAGAAGTAATCACTTGTAAGGTAAAGAGCTCCTTACTACGGTTAACTTCAACACCTCAAGCTACCGAGTATAGTACATCATTTCAATTTTAATTTCTAGTAATTATACTTGTCGTTGCTTAGCGGTACGAGGTGTCACATAACTTCAGGAGTTGTTGGTGGGTTAATTTTTGTGTTAATAGTTCATGGGAAGATTTCATTTTTTTTGTATTTTGCATACTCTTTGGTTAATAAACAATAATTTTTCTGGTGGGTCAATTGTTGACTCTTTTTATAATGAAGCTACCTTTCCTAATTCCGGTGGCTGCAGATAAAATTGTTATCGGGATTAGGTGGCACCCAAAAGACTTGAATCGAAGCATTAGTGGCGGAGATTTACTTGGAACCTTTTATAATAATTTGTGGTCAAGGTTTTTAATTCACTTACTTGCTACCCTGAGTAAGAGAATATCTCTCTACGCTGTTAACTATTTGGCTAACGGAGCTAGCTGGCTGATCAGAGACGTGTGTTGATTTCAAATTGCACATGGTATTTTATAGTGCCTTGCGGTCTAAGCTTAAGCGTTATATCGTATTAAAATCATCGGTGCTTTGAAATTGACGAATATGCATATTTAAGGGTATTTAGCTTCGGAATAAAAGAAATAAAATAAAAGAACGGAATATTCAGAAGGATTAGTGGCAAGCTGGCTGTTTCTCAATTTACAATGGATGATGTCGCGGGTTCAAACCCATTTTTTTCGATATCTTAGTGAGGCTTCTTCATCCATAGGTTCTTAGATGCTACACCCTATGTATTAAAAATTCACAAAATGCCATTTGAACTACAAAACGCGCTGGATTGGTCCAGGTAAGGTTAAAAAAATTGATACGGACATTAATTTATTACCACAATTGATACAAAACCCTATATACACGAAGTTCGCTTACAACCAAAACTAATTTGATATCGAACAAGCTTTGGCCCAATATTACAGAGTGACTCGCATAATCCTTTTTAGATGTGTCCCTGCAGAAGTTCTTAAAGTTGTTCTATATTACACCGGTATTTACCTTACGAATTAGGAAACCTGCACGAAAACCTAATTCGGAGTAGCCGGCAGAATGCTCGAAACTGATCTAAGGAAATTCCTATCTCTGCCACAGACGGAAAATTTTTATTTCAGCCCAGATTCGAACACCCGACTTCACGGCTATGTACCCCAACGCTCTACCACCATAAATATATAAAAATTTTACCATTTAATTATATTGATGAAACATACTCGGGTACTAATAAATGACAATGCTTGAAGAGTCAAAGTCTCTTGTTAATTCCTTGAAGAGATCACTAAACTATGCTTGATATTAATTGTTGTAATTCGTAATGACCCTCGAAAAAAAACAAATGCTATGTTTAATTACACATGACATGATCCCTTGCGTGTGCGGTGTTGGTAACAATGTCTTGTATCCCACAACTTCACTTATGGAAGCACATGTCGGGTGATATGATGAAATGGATCGTATCTTCATTGACAGAATTCCGTGATTTTTTGTTGCCATGGAAGATACAATGATAGCTCTAGATTTTGCGTTTTTTGTAATTTTCTCAGCTGCTAAAAGGAATATCTAGATTTTTATTTCAGAATAGGTGGTTTTGAGGCAAGCAAAAATGTTTATAAAGAATGACATTTTTGCGTAAAGTTAAAATTAAAAATTTTTTCCCTCTTGTTCAGTCGATCCGGGGACACACTGTATGTCAACATTACCGATGCATTTAAGTCTTTGGCCCGTATGAGTAAAAGTAAGCAAATGCTTATACTTGCAAAATTCAAAGTAAATATACTCGTAAGTGCTCCTTCGCACTGGGCGACTTAGCAGCGCTGCTAAACAAACCAGTATAAAGGGGCACTTACGAGTATTTACTTTGAATTTTGCAAGTATAAGCATTTGCTTACTTTTATTCATACGGGCCTTTGTTTGAAAAATACTTCTTATTCTTCGACGCCAGCAGCTTTTCTTATTCTTCATAAGAGGCTTCTGTATTTGAATGTTGTAGGTACCTACTTGTCTTCTGCTTCTGCAACAAGCCACTGAATGTACAGTGATAATTATTCATAAGTACTAAGTAGACATAGGGATTTGATTGCATTGTTTTTCCATATGTCTACTTTTAAATGACAAAATCGCTTCTGAAGGGTGCCTAATTTTATGCAACCAAAATAACTTGTGAAAACAAATAAAGATCTGGCTGTCACATTAATTAATTTGAATATTTTTGCTTTGGCTTCCGTATTTTTATTTTCGTTCGCGTGCGATGTATTCAACTGAAGAAACAGTTGATATTGCCAATTGGTATAAAGTCGGTAACAATTTAAGGAGCGTAAAAAATTTATTTTCAGTGAAGACTAAGCAACAATATTCAAACTTCAAATTAATTCGCGGTAATTAAAATTAATTCACGTAAATTCTAAT